GGTATAAACTATATACGGTATTTTTCTTGTTTACATGAATGTAGTCTTTTTATTTGTCCTGATGTGTATAATAATAAATAATAATACTTTTTTTTTTGTTTTATAATGTCACCTCCACTGACCGTAAAGGTTTCTGAAAAGGCCTCGAAAAGGCCCATGGACCACCAGTTTATGTTCACAGTTGTAGCTTCTTTTGAGGCTCTGGACACATTTCATTTGTGGATCAAGGAGCAGAAATGGCTCTTTTGATCAAAAAGGTTGCAGACCCCTGTTTTATAGGGTTACTCTTTTTTTCCATTCTATATGCAAAAATACAATAGTTTTATTCTGACCAGATTCATGAGCTAACACCTAAACTGGACAGGGTCGATTTTAATCTCGGCCCCACTTAGGGTTAGCTGTAAATTTGTTAGTGTTAAACTTGTCAAACAGGTATCTACCACAGGTAAGATAGTAGCTGCCCATATTCTTTACATAAAACCCCATTTCAAAAARGTGAATCACCACTTTAACTAGTTTGACTCTAAATCGGCCACCTCATGTCACAACCACCAATACAGGCAACGACAAAAGGATAAAAAGCTCAAATAAAAGCTGTCACTACCAATGTAATCAGAATTACAAAATAAAATGTCTTGTGCATTACAGAATATTTTCTCATCATATTCTAAAGAATAACAGTAGAAGTCTGTACACAATCAATATAAAACACAATATCCCAGAGAAGCACAGTTCCTAAAGCAGAGTTTCCAAGTCCTCACCATCCAGGTCCACTCTTGATCCAGTCTCAGTTATCTATTATTACTGTGTGAAGGTCATTCTTATTATTACAGTTTTTATATTGTAAGCTATTACATTAACAAGATGAGTTAGTGTTTCCATATTCAGCAAAGAAGAAAAAAAAGGCAACACATAATGAGGTCGCWTTAAAGGTTTTAACTAGATCCAAGTCCCTGAGGGGTACCACACAACAAAGGAGAGAGTAAGCCACCTCCGTACTTCATTGGCACGTGGCTCCCCCTATTGTCCAGGAGAAATACTGCATCTGGTCCTCACCCATCACCACCACCTCAGTTCAGCAAAAAGCAGTGCAGGATGGGGGAGAGAGGGCGACGGAGGGAAGGCGACAAGCATTCTGAGTCAGTTCCAGGCCTCTTCCTGATCAACAGTGCAGCACATTCGAGAAAGGTAAAAAGGGAAATCTGCAAACGGAGCAGCTTCTTTTCACAGACGTCTTAAGTGCTTTATTATTCGAGAGTGTGGATGCTAAGGCCGATGAAACCTTAAAGAAAAAAAGAAAACAAASAGGAAATCAATGTAAAAATATGGAAAATTTGTACTTTTGAAGTGGGGTTCTGTGAAAAAGTTATAAACAAATAATATCTTACCTGTTGTAGAAAGCTCTGAGCCACCTCAATTTGGAGTTTAATTCTGAAAAAACTGACCAGCTAATGACTAGTCGGAGAGTCAAGACACAGTGACTCCACAGTGGATTACTGCCATCTAATTCAACTTAAATCTCAAGAAATTAATAAAAACGGTTTTATAAAATATGTGTTTTTTAATACAAACATTCTAGAAAGCTTTTGGTTTCTGTCAATTTAGTATTTCTTTTGTTATTTACACATAATTTTCTGTTTATTTACAAGCACAAATATCAGCAGCTGTCTGTAATGCCTCTGGTGCAGCCCTCTGACAGGGATATCATAACATTATGTTGTATAAAAACCCAACATAAAATACACAATTGACAGAAGGGTAGTGTTAGCATGAACTGTTATGGAATCCTTCAGACTGTAGTGTTAAGAAGCTAACTAGCTGTTAGCTCATCAATCTGGTCAAAATGAAACTGTGTTTCTCCAAACTGAGGTCGTTCAAGGAGCTATCCACTGCAGGTAAGATGTTAATAGTTCATAACTTTCCCAAAGAACCCCACTTCAAGAGACTAGAGCAATCACTTTAAACATTTTGTTACATTTAAACTACTTTTTGTTCTAGCAATTTTCCCCTTTTTAGTCATTTTTGAGTTTTGAAGTCTATTTCCTATAAATCTTTCCTCCGAAATATTCATTTAATTTTGAATAAAAACTATTAAACAGCTTGTCATTTGACTTTCATGCATCATTAGCTTACCAACAATTTACCAGCATTAATGCTCAAAGTGCAGCTTTATTTAACTTGTTTCATTCTAAAAAAACAAAAGCAAATTTATAGTACATACACTTGCATCTTTTGCCTTTTCTGTCTGAATGGTTTACCGTTTTGAAGCTCTGGGAGTCGAAACAGAACAATTTGTGCAGCTGTTGATAAAACTGTCTATTTGTCCATTTATCCCACTTTTAAACCAAAGGGCATTTAAATCACATCAAGTCAAAGTGTAATCTYAAGGATTAAAAGTCAAGATTTGACCAATTAAAAGGTATACCTTGTGTAAATTCTGCTTTCTTCATGAACCTCCATTTCAGTGCTTTTATAATCGTTGAGCTCCTTCCGGATGGCTGCCTGCAAGGACCGACACTCACTGTTAACTGTCAACATGTCAAACGGCACATTTTGGGTTGGTAATATGCAAAACACAATCCACTGCGAGGACATTAGTCAATCTCAGCTTTAGGCAGTCCATTAAAATCTGAACATTGTGGTTTAAAGCAGGGGTTCTTAACCTTTTTGACCTCGGGGCCCAATTTGTTGAACATAAAGTGACACGAGGCCCAGTCAGATATTACCAATGTATGGATCAAAATTATAATTATTATAAATCT